AGAGAGAGAGAGAGAGAGAGAGAGAGAGAGAGAGAGAGAGAGAGAGAGAGAGAGAGAGAGAGAGAGAGAGAGACATATAAAGATACAGAGCCAGCTAGTAATCCAAACAAACATTATACAAGTTAAACTTACAGCATACATACCTTACACAAACAAACACACATTGCACGGTAGGCTGTAGCACACTTTTGCTCACAGGTTAAATATTTTAAGAGCAAACCATACTTCAGGTTGAACCTAATAAAATATGCATCTGGCCTCTCAACATGCAACAACGAATTATTATATGATCAATGTTACTATACGACTAGCATATATGTCTATTCTTGGCTTCTTGCTATTGGTAGAGACCCTGTAATGTGTTCATGGCTAAATTATTTTATTTACCCATAAAGACAGGCAAAGTCACTGGAACATTAACCTTTGGCCGGTGTGATTATTAGTTCCTACATGTCAATATACACATAGACTGACCTCACCCAAACGCAATAATTGTATAATAACATATTTCTGTATCGTGCTATATCCAACACATTGAATTTTAGACCCTACATCTCATTGGGAATAGGAGATTGACAAAAAGTAGTAAATTTCCAGTTGATTTTTTCCATTATATTGTGTATAAGTAGTGTTTATATATATCTGTATGAATACATGAATATAGTGCTGTCATAGGCCAGTGGCTCACACAGAGGAATTGATTAAGTTAAGTGTAGCAAGCTGCTCATGACATTGCATTGGTTGGAATGATTCATTGTAATACAATTAAATTTCACTGCAATCTCTGTGTTTTAATCTAAAAAACAACCCTGGCTTTGGCTGGCTACCTGTCAAATACCTGACATTACAAACTTTTGTGGCCCAGGTTTGTTTCCAATTGAATTGTATTTGATATGTTATACTATAAATTTCTCTTCTTTCCACATGGAGATTGCATACGACCAAATTGGCAACAAGGGATTCCTTGCACTATGTCCGTTGCATCACTTCTAAATTCTTGGCTATAATATACTATATTCATTTCTAGGTGGGTGTTTTTGGGGGTGGTAACAATTTGAACTAGTGGCAAACCACCAAATTAACAACTAGGCAGTTAACTTGGTTTGATCTGGATCAGTGTGTACATATATGAAATCATATATATACATCACAAACATAACAAATTTATAACATATGTTAAGTATATTAATAAAATAATTTTATTAATAGAAAACAATAATCAGAGAAGTTCTCTGCAAAACCATTGAATCATGACAACATACTTATAGCTGTTATTTGAATTAAATATGAATTATTAGTAGAAATACATAGTATCAAAAGCCCATTAACCCCATGTTATGGGTTAATGAGCTCTTGATAGTATGGATTATAATAAACTATATTATCAACACTAACGTACTAGCTACCCCTAGTATATCATATAACTTATAAGTACGTAATGCAACATCGTATTTACCCTCGTAAATATTAGTTTTCAATGTCCAAGGGACTATATCGAAGACGGAAAGAGACAAAGTTGATCAAATAGACAGATCAACACTGTGGATCGCAGTAGAAAAAAACTAAAATTTGCAATTTACTAAAGAGGAAAGGAGAGAATTCCAATACGGAATGACAGAAACAAAGAATCTAAACTTAAATGGATCCTGTGAAGATGTAATCAATAGATGTTCAATGAAAAGATGTGGCTAACTCCATTTTCAAAAAATAACATTGAACTGTTGTTAAACTTCGATATATTGTAGATACATCCTGCAGAAATGTAACATTCTAATTTCAACAGAATTCCTAACATTAACATTCGTAATTTATAAAATTAAGTATCGTAAACCATGCCAAAGGCTAGTAATAGATCATAATACATGTACATCATACTACATGTATGTATTCATGTAAGAAGATTTCGTTTATTATTTATTAATAAGACGCTTGAACATGAATTACACACTATTTACTCATCTCTGTGCAAGGTACCATGTAGTATGATGTAGTTTTTGTAAATAATAACGGCACGGTGGTATTACTAATAGTAATACGTATTCATAAAAATAACATTAGGCCTACAGTACAGATACAATATGTAATAACTAATAATAATAAATATTACATTCGCGACGATTAGGTTCAGAATACACATGACTTTTTAACACGCATATAACATAAGTTCGTAAACACTCACCTATATAACTGCAGCGTACGAACTGGTACAGCCTTGCGCCACTGATGTTGCTGTTTGCAAGATGCAGATTTATGCTTCGATCTTCTCGTTTCGAGCTGTGCGCCAAGTTTATGACAAGTCTGCAGTCGATCTATGCTTAGACTCACCGTCACACTGTCCTATGGTAGTTAGTGTTTAACGAGCAGTACATTTTCTTTTAACCCTCCTGAAATCTATGAACACAAGCCCGGGCGAAATGCAGACAACTTGGAAACTGGCTATTTTTATTGAGCTCATTTATAGCAATAATTATTCAAGAATTAATTGCGCATGCTTGTTCATTAGTGAGAGTTGCGCGGTGCATTGTGGGTGACTCAGATGGTGACAACGCAGTTTGCGAGTATTATTGCTGCGAGCGTATTGAAACTTCGGAGCCATCTAAGATAATATGGCGACTTCCATGAACGCATCCTAGTTTTTGAAACATTCATAATCTTTCTTGTAGTATTACGTTATGAAATAGGCCACTGTATACAATATTTACTAAAATTCTGGATCGTATGACCATAAATATAACATACATGGTCTTCGTAACGCTTATTTGGTAATTGCAATGCAGATTACAAACAAACGTAGGTCCCAATTACTGCTACTGGCACTGCATTAGAACTCGTACCTAAGCCTAGGGAACGACGTGAAGTTGAAAAAACAGTTTAAGCCTCCTCGTATAGCGATATCTATGATGTTCCCAGTTTGGTATAACAAATATATGCCATGCTATCTGGGATGGAAGAATGAATGTAATAACGACTGTAATTTACAGTAATAACATGCTAAAAGATAACATTCCCTAGTGAGTAGTGTAGAAGACAAACTGACGAATCAATTGAAATTTTTTTATTATGTAGTGTTTTTACTTGTTATTCTATTAGTTATATATATCAGCTGTATGGATGCTTAAACTGAATTTTCGCTATAATTCCAGAACACGTACCTGCCATGCCTTTGCTCATTATAATTAACAGAGTGGCTATATGCCCGGCAGCCGGCGTATATCTGACGGCTGCCGGGCACGGTCTTCGATTTCCTAAATGCCCGGCAGTTTTTAATTTTTAGCGTTATCTCAAGTAAACAAGGGTTAGGGTTAGAGTTAGGATTAGGGTTAGGGTTAGGTTTAGGGCTAGATCGAGTTAGGGTTTTTGTTAGGTTTAGGGTTAGGGTTAGAGTTGGGGTTAAGAACTGCCGGGCATTTAGGAAAACGAAGACCGTGCCCGGCTGCCGGGCATATAGCCACAGCGTATAATTAATTGGTAGAGCGTAATGGTGGGTGATTCAATGTACAAAATCAAACTCCAGATGTATATGCAACCTTTTTAAAGAAAGACCAATATCACATACCAATATTCTGTCCTATTTACTGTCTGTCCTCTTGCTAGTCTAATTACATACCGGTATCTTAACAAATATTTACAATGAAAAGAAGACAGGCAACAGACCCCATTGATAAGCATTATTTCCAGTCATAAAAACAATATTATTGATTGAAGTAGGTCAGGCTGCACATGGATATGTATGCAAAGATTTGAAAGCCAAACTCGAGTGCAATTTACTGAACCACCCGTAGGATGTTAACTTCCTCTTTATGTAAAAAAGTCAGCTCCTAATGATTCTGAATACAACAGCTGTAAGCATGACCAAAATGAACACCACATAAAGTTGTGTTAGTCTGCAAATGGTAGCCAAGTTTGGCTTTAGAATCACTGCGTATATATGACCGTGTAATCTGCTTATTGGGACCCAAGAATCCGTTTTCATGACCAAAAGTAACGCAGATGGGGTCGTTGTCGTATCAGGTACTACAGATATGTACCCGAGGTAGTTTTAGGTTGTTTAGTATTATGTTTATATTTTTATATGAGGTATGTTTAGGGTTAGGGCTAGGGTTAGGGTACACTTCTGTAGTACAAGTCTGGTACACTTTGTGTATACATATATGTACCTCGGGTACATATCTGTAGTACCTGATACGACAACGACCCCTTCAGCAAAAGTAACACTTGTTAATAGGATCTATTATATAACCCTTAGATGTCAGGATGAAAGTCATTACAGTCAAGTATATCCTTGGCTATAATTGGCAAGGTAATAAAACTTTAATCATGATTCATCACATCAACACGTTTTCTGTTTTAGGAGAGCTTTGTTGATATCCTCTTAACTGTACAGTTTAGATATCTTGGTTGTCACCATAATGTGATGGAAGTTTGTTTTATGGGTTTTTATCTTATATAGCCCTGAACATAATTTTATCACATGGCTGTAGATTAATAAAGCGAAATAGCCCATTCTCAAAATTAAGACAGTTAAGCTCTTCTCTCAACAGGTGAAGGTCCGTGAAGCTTCGTATTGTAAAACTGCTGCCTCAGTTCTTGGTATACATCATTAGGTAAGCAAACATTCGTTCTTTCACATTTTTTGTAATCAGTGTGCTGTTAGTTAATGCTAACGGGGTTACAACAGACTTTTAGGTTCTAGATTCATGAACACTATGTGACAAAATTATGTCTAAATTTTTGTACTGAATAAAGTACAGGCATGACGTAGCAACTAGCAAGATTATATTTAATGTTGTCACTACGATAGTCTAGCCGTCATTTGTTCGAGTTTAGATAAGGAAGGTTAATCATTGTTTTTTTTAAAATATATTTTACCTAAAGTCATACTCGTCAAAATGTATGCAATTTTTTGACAATCTAAAATCACTGGAGAAACATGTTATAAGATGTTTACTATAAATGATTGTAGTTGTGTTCTGTAGTAAATGCACTGTGGTGCTCAGCTAATACAACCAATATTCTAGACTGTTAAAGGCTGGCACAATTCCTCCATGTGTATTTTTTATTTCTTTACAGAACATGCCCTACTAAACGTTGTAAACATGTCAAAGAAATTGTCAAGTGCTGGCACTGCACAGCAGGAGCCAACCTTTACCATTCTGTGCATTTTAAGTAGCAGTGGAACAGCTCCCTGCTTAGAAATCATTAAGTCGTAGTACCTCAGCAATACAAGGTCGAAATCATGCATGCTTGTTGGGAGCAAGGCATTTATAACTTAATTGCACCTACATCAGGTGTGGTATTTCTTCTTAACACATGGTAAAAAAAATCCGAGCTTGCACTCCAGTGCATGTTCTCTGTATGTGGAATACGCAACACCGATTTTTTTGTCTGGGCGAATGTCTTTCATTCCTATATGTGCATGGTGACCTGTCACGTACACCCACACTTACATGTTCATGTGTTATCAAAGAGTGCAACTGCATTGAAATCTATGAACATTTGAGGTAGCAGAGTTCACATGCAATAGAAAAACCAGTTTCTTATTTTATAAAGCCTGTTGGAGTTTTGAAATTCACATTTAAATGCTTTTAATCTTTACAAGCATGGTATTATAAACGGCCAGTGGCAATCGAAAAATTGGTTGTATGGCACTTTGTATAAACAATTAAAGATCTTATTAGTATTCACTAGCAATTAGTGCAAAGTAGGCAATTATCATTCTAGAACAGTCACCTTCATAACACCTGGTTCTAATTCTGTAAGAGTGTTTCTCAATTATAGATAATAGTGAGCTATTTTTTCTTGTAGGTTGAATAATGAATTAGTTTTCATTTCCCATATAATCATTCAAATAAATGTCATACATGAAAGTTATGGGTAGTCAACTGTTAACACTTCTATTCATGCTTACAGTCTATTAAGCATAATGTGTTTAAACCACTGGAATATAGGTGACCCCCGCTTTTATGTCATGGTCCCCAATTTTAATGAAAATTCACGTTCTGGTGGGCTGAGATCGGGTAATAGCTGGTTTAACAGCTATGGCCTCTTTTTTTTGGATAGACCAATGGCTATCAAAATGAAGCCATGCCTAGATTCTCACTGAAGCCATATACGAAATGTTGTCAAGTTGACATATTTCCATCTGAACATATACATTCAGCCAACGCTGCTTAATCAAAGCACTGCGCCCATCTGGAGGTTAGGCGTTTCGCATACCATTTTGGCCGACAACGGTGTTTAACTGGGCGACATCTTCGTGGCGAGTTGCTCGCTAGGTGTGCGAGCGAAATCGCTTAACATTCGCGAACTTTGTGCCTCGGTGAGGAATCGGTGCGAATGGTGGGAATCTGTGGCGCCTGCGCTGCGCGCCGCCACGTGTTCGCGCCCTTACGTACGAAACTCGCGCCATTTGCCTACGCATTGGCTCGCGTACATCCCGCATTGTCGAGAGTCGCGCGCAACTGGTAACCTCGGCTTTACATAACGTGTCGCGAACTACGGTGTTATGCAGCCACCTGACCTTTGAAATTTTTCTTAATTTTTTTACGAAATCACTGGCATTGAATCGGTTAACCTCTGTACAATGAAAACGGTACCGGGCGTGCAAATATTCAACATGGCGGACTGGCGGTTGGACGCGTTCACGCCGCCGCTCGCAGTTTTTCTCAATCTCAAATCTCTCGATTAAACAGCTTCTTAACTGTACCGTGAATGGCGAACAAACGTTTTAATGGCATCTTCTCACAGTGGTGTGAACACAGTTGGTGCATTACTCGTGTATAGAACCTGTGAAACCAGTATCGAGGCGTGATCCGTGTTTGATATCGAAATCAGCATTAGTATTCAGACGGTGTGAGAATAACTGCTGTGCCTTTGTTTGTGCTACACTGGGATATACTTTTATCGTCTGGAATCCTGCTTTGTGTGTCCATTGTTGTGGCTTAAATTGGATTAAAATTCTTTTAAAATTGAACTTAAAATTTTTAAAGCACCATTCGTGTTGATCGCATCGGAAAACCGCTAGGCTGGATATCTTTTGTGCTGAATATGTGTGTGTGCGTGTGTGTGTGATCGCCGCGCCCCAAGTTGAGTTTGCCGTAACCATGATGGTGTGCAATCTGCCATTTCCCACTGCAGTAACAGACAGTATGGTGGTTTTTTATAGGAGTATCTGGACTAGGAAGGCAAGGGTCAACACAGTGATTCACTATCAAGGTATGTTGGCTGTTGTTAGTTATATTTCCCATTGTCACGTATCAAAGCTGTCGCATTCGGCGGTTTATATCGGGGAGATACCCACGCGAATGAAATCATTGTGTTGAAGTAGATGTGCTAGATTTAAGAACAGCTGGATAAGCTTTCATACTTTCTTTCACATCTCATATCTCAGACAGGTATGTATGTTGGGTTTGTGGTGCTAAGTGTTGGCTTAGCGGTAAGTTATAATTTCTTACGTCACTTACCTGTCATGTTGTTTTGGAATAATGTTTGCTATGTGTCATCCAGCAATATCTTACTGGTGCTATGTAACTTTTCACCATCCCCTTTTCAGCATTAACCTGTTGAGGTTTCAACGTTATTCATTTTCTGGCTCCACATTATGCACTGTAGTGTGCTAGAATGTAGTCATAGTCTGTCTGTTCTGCCCATGCTCACATGTACCACATATAATATCAAGCCAAGAATCCATATTTATAGGCTCAGTAGTTTAGTTAGACAGATGAACTTGGTGATTAATTTCATTTAAAAAATGTGTTTTCTAAATTATGTACATGCTCAGCTCAGAGTGTTGGAACTGATGAACCCACTTTAGTGGTTTTGCATGTCTATTGCTGTTCAGTGAGACATGATCTGCACGCATATATCAAATGCAATCTATAACTAAGTTTTGTACATGTTACCTTCAGTGTGGGCATCTGAACTGTCATTCAAAAATATATGCCTGTATGTAAATTGTATGTAAATATGGTGAGTTCTATTGTACCAACAATGGCCGCCACTGCTAGCAGGCCTTTACATTGCTGTCACGTGACTCAGCCCCCTCCCATATACCGCTGAATGCATACGCTGCCCTAATGAAAAGCGCGTTTAAGATAGCCATAGCCGTGCGTATGGCATTTTATGCCTAGCATCATTGTCCAAATGAGGCCTTTGTAACGTGTAGCTTCTAAAGTATCCCACAGACAAACTGAACAACAAAGGCTTTAGTAATGCCGTTGTTGCGTATGCGTGTGAGGATCTGCTGCACTTAAAACGCAGATAATTCAGGTCGTAAGTATGCAAATTAGAAAATATGCATGCTAGGTACGTTCCAAGTTTGAAATGCATAAATGAGAAACCTCGTTTAGTGAACTGGCAAACGTATATTTGTAATTATCATGGCAAGCTTATTTCTTAAATTATCTCCAGCCAACGGGTTTCATTTATTCGCTGGTCTGCTGCCGTTATTGATTTTAATTCAAGGAGACTATGTAATTGCTAGCGGCGGCGAGATTCACAGATAAACAGTGCCGTCATGCGCCCAATGCATTATGCTACAGCACACAGCAGCGCATAGTCTGCTGCGTGGACTGCCAGTGCCATCTGTGGTCAAGCACTTGTATTTTTAATCACAGCTATACGACGCTTTCAAACTGAAGGTTTTTGTATGACGACAATGAGTGCTTTTCGTGGTCAATTCTCGTAGGGTATACGTTCCCCGTTCTGCACTCGCATCATTGTCTGATCAGCGATATCCTCGGAGCCTAATTGTTATTATCACCTGACACCTACTGTAAGCTCCACGTACACTTCTAATCAGCTGGCGCCCTTTCTGATTTAGCGGCAGTAATGATTATTTTCTGGGAACGATAGACAATATTGAAAGAGCGAGATGGCTGTCATTCGAAAATATTTGGTAGGTGCAGCATCTTACTAGCAGCTTTCCTGTAACGTTTTGACCTGCAAAAAAGGGAATCAACAAAGATTTCTGCTTCGGGGAGAAGACCCGAACAGTCTATTCATTATTGACAAATCGCGCAGCTTTGTCTGTTTTTATTTGATATTTGAGAGAGAACACTCCGCCTAAAACATCATTTGCATGCTGCCTCATCTGTGAAATGACGTTTCGTGGAAGAGACGCGGCGTCAGTACCCTGCAGCTTGTTCTTATGCAATCTCGTTAAAGATAATAGTCCTGCGTCTGCCTTCCACATGAACCGAATTTGAACTCGCCATCATCAGGCTGCGCACAAACGGTTTCATATTTGCCCAGTCGCTCTCTGCCAATAACTCGGTCAACCAACTGAATTCGGACGCGCGACAAACTGTGCGACAACCCCCCCCCACCCGCACACACACCCACACACGCACACACACACACACAACACACACACACGCACACGCACACACGCACACGCACACACACACACACACACCACACACCCACACCATGCACACACACACACACACACACACACACACACACCACACACACAACCACACGACACAGCACACGCGCAAGCGCGCGCGTTTTTCTCCGCGACGACGAGCTGAGCGCGCTGCTTGCAGGGCGCGGATTCAGACCGTACTTTGCCCGCCGTATTGAAAGTTACGGTCTAGATTTCAATAGATAGCTAGATGGAATTTGGCTATATTCTTTATTTGTTTTCTTTTTCGTCTGATTCATTGACAGGACTTGAAGGAAATCAAAATTTTACATGGTAACAAAACTAGCTTTGATATCTGAAAAAGAAGGGAAGTGCTTGAATCATTCTGCATTAATTGCTGGTATGCAAAGCGCAGGCAAAATGAAGCAGAAATAAAATTCCATATGGTTTTTAGCTATTGCTGCTTGACTAAATGTGTGCTCAAATGGTGCTCATTTTTGTGCCCAGGGACCCTTGAAATTTTGAAATTGCTTGTGAACATGTGCTTCCGCGCCTAACGGCGCCCACTGTGGGGTGGTGTGCCCTTTTTGGGGGATGTGCCCTTAAAATCTGGAAAAATACTGTCTAGCTTCAGCCCTGGATCCGCCCCTGTGCTTGATCGTCGTTGTTGTCGCGCCAGCGTATCGAAGGCACGCGTGAAGACGTAAGCGCCCCGACGTCCATGTGATCAGTGGGTGAAGAATGCGAGAAATATCCCAGGTTCGGCTGCGACAGTTGATGTCCCTTCCCCTCACTGCTACACGCGCGCTCGTCACGCTTTCGGGTAAATCGCCCGTCTGTTTGAGCAGGCATTCTAGCCGGCGAGCTTGACTCGCGTATCAGCATGGCACTCCATGTGATCTTACTGTCGTATCGACCTCGGCCCGACGCACATGTCTGCGAATGTTAATTAAAGTTCAGCCGTTTTGTAAATTGTGCTGCTCCGCAGATTATGAATTTTCAGTTCCCGCGGCCAACGGTGGCCAATTTCTGCCGTATTGATGATGCGTAGCTGTGATTGCATTGGCACGCTTACTGCTGTGCAAACAGTGCTTCTATCAATTGGGCAGTTTTTCCGAATTTAAGTTCGGAAGTTGTAAATACACCTCTCTGGCAGTCGCGTTGATTATGCAGAAGAAAAATATGGTTGTCATGGCAACGAGACAGATTTGTAGATTTTATTGCCAATGAAGCAATGTGAGTTGGGAATACTAAATGCAGATAATGCCTGCAGAAAGTAATGCGCTATAAGCTTGGAGTTGGCTGTCTGGCAGAGGCCAGTTCATACACGAGGCTATTTTATGCCTCCTCATAAAGCGGTTACCATAATTGTTCATAAAATTTAGGCGGAAATACAAAGGGTGTGTAGTCACAAATAAGATGGGTTGGGATAGGTCCGTAAAATTAATGGCGAAATAAAGCATCCGCGGCGATCGGCGTGTGAGCCATGGCCGTGAGCATGAACGACAGACCATGAAATTTGAAGCTCCGTGGTAAAAGTTTTATTCGACGTTTGATAACTCAAGAAATAAGTTGTGTTAAAGAATATTGACAACCTGCCCTGATTCCAGCAAATTACTATCAGGAACTGTACGAGCATGTGCGCATAACAAAGCCACGTAGTGTCGTAAATTCGAAAACGTTTACAGTTTTCAGTTTTATAGCGGATTACTCTTTCAACATAAACATTTTCATGTCTCTTCAGGAGGAGGCTACACAAGTTGTCGTATCTGATACATTAAATCTTTGTTCATCATTTTTAATACTTTATTTGTTTATGGTTATAGCTGTTTGAATGCGTGTTTCTATATTATCTTCTCTGAAGTGAAGCCTAACCATTGAAGTGCGCAGTTTAAAACAGAATGTTTCTAAACTGTTCTAGCCTCGTGTTTAAAATTACGAGCAGTTGGTTTGTTGACATCAGGCATAACAATTGGTGTCTCTACACTTGTGAAACGAAAACGGAGTCTTCAAAACTGTCTTTGTGTAATACTAGATATTTCCGGTAATAGCATGCTCAGCTGTAGCAGGAACGTGTTTTTGGAGAGAACACCCTCAACGTATTGCCATGAGAGTAAGAAGTACTCTGTAAGGACGTCCTCTGTCATGACATCTAATGGATCGTCTTTGCTAGACAATTCAATCTGTCATAGCATTAACATATCTTCACATCTCATAACACCCTCAGTAATGGTAACAAAGCCTATTCTGTCAAAACAACAGCGTCCCTGGCAATTCGTCATTGCTTCCAGGGAAACCTGTGACCACATTTACTCGTAGCTATGGCACACCAAGGCATGTTCTGTTGGAACAGTTTGAGCCAGACAGTAAGGCACGCACTCAAGCACGCACTCACGCGCATTGCTTTGCATGTAGGCCTAAATAAACGGCCAAATAAGTACTAGTTGTCGAATTTAATTTATTAGGTAATAATATTTAGCTGCTTAAATTCATTGTCTAGCTGTCATTCGGTTCAATGCGTGGCTCAACGTTTAAGTCTAATCGAATATTGAAGGAATTTCAGTGTAGATGCCTCTTTACATAAAAATCCTATGAATATTATGTAATCACAGGGATGACCTATTGTGGTGTGCTACCGATGGTGCGTACGTAAGCTGTCTGCTTATCTGCGTGTTTCTATTACTTCTGATCTTTCTATTTGTTATAGCGATCGTTCATGTTCTTTGAATTTTTTAAATAGTTGTAATACTTTTAATTGTATTTTTTGTATATTTTTCTGATACTTGTTAATGCCTGCTGATAGTTGAACGTATTGAGATAGTTTTGATCGAAAATATTGAGATAGTTG